ATACAAGCAAAAATTAATATTCTGAGTCAAAGTTCAGCAGCCAAGATACTCTGACAGCTTCAGACATAAGCAATATTAAAAGTCATAGGAGGGTCCTATTTCATGGAAGTGTTACTGTCTACAATTATTTGTGTCTAGTGCACTGCCTGGCACATGGTAAGTTAGCTTAGCTTACTGAATAAATGAATGGATGTATGAAAGAATGGGTTTCCCTGGTGGCTCAGATGGTAAAGAATCTGCCTGCAAAGCAGAGGACCATCCCTAGTTGGGAAGGTCCCCTGGAGGACAACGTGACAACCCACTCCAATATTCCTGCCTGGAGAATCCCCATGGACAGAGGAGCTTGGTGGGCACCTCATGAAAGAATGAATGACTTTTGCTGGCAGTAGCTCAAAAGCTACTTTGTGAGGAGGTCTGGCCAACCCAGACACTAAACGTCTTTCTGGTGGCCCCAGTGACCTTGTTGTTTCTCGGCATCACCAGCTCCAGGACAGAGCAGCAGATCCATTAAAATCCCTCTAACCCAAATCATCGTGGACCTAAAGGCTGGGACTTCCTGAACATCGTTAGTTTTAGAAATCCGACTGGGTCTAAATGTCATTTGGTTTAACTCTTCCAGAGATTCCTTCCAGAAAAGGGTGGGTATCTTCAAAGGTCACTGCATCTCCTCTCACCTCCACCACAGGAATAAAAGTTGAGAGTGGGAAAAAAGCAATAGATAATCACTTTTTTGTTCTAAAGTGCCCCAGCAGCAAATCTTAGTGACATCTGCCTCCAATTAAGCCCTTCCAATGCAGCTTTGTGGCTGAGTCCAGCTGCAGTCCACCAGGAGGTATATTTCAGCTGAGGTGTCATTCACTAACATCATTCACTAAAGTAATAAGGAACACAGTTTTGAACGTGCTTTGACATTTATTATCTCATTTGAGGTCCATTACAACCCAGGGAAGGGGGGGAAGGTGTTTTACAGAATGGAAAGCAGGCTTGGAGATGTAGAGACCACACAGCAAGCAGGACACCGGGCTTGGGCCAGACCTTCGTCTCCTAACCCTGTCCCAGTACTGCTTCCACTATGCTGGGTTCTGACCCTACTTTCTCATCACCCAGAGTTGGGGAAAGCAATGAGGACCCTGTGGTGCCTGGTGTAGCTTCTGCTGCATCTCATTCAGGACCTGAGTCCTTGTTTCCAAGGTCAGGATGGTCCTGGGTACCTGATACCATAGGGTCTACAAGAGACAGCTGAGGAAACATCCCTTCTCGAATCACACACCCAGGAAGAGCTCTATACTCCAGATGGGTCTGTCTACTGCAGGAGAAACCTGGACCCGAATTCCCCAGAGACAGGACTCTTTGTTACGGCAACCTTAGGAGACAGATAGACAACACCCAAACAAAAATATGTAAGTCTGAAGTCATGCCTATTAACACTAAGGAATTAATATTAATGCCTATTAACATTAAGGACTCAGAGGCACAGGGGAACTGGTAAACAGAGAGGATGAGCAGAAAGAGAAAGGCAAATACCATATGACACCACTTATACGTGGAATTTAAAATAGGACACAGATGCACTTATCTACAAAACAGACTCACAGACAGAAAACAGGCCTGTGGTTGCCAAGAGGAGCGGGGAGAAGGGGAGGGATGGACTGGGAGTTTGGGGTTAGCAGATGCAAACTAGTATATGTAGAACGGACAAACAGCAAGGGCCAACGGCATAGCACAGCAATATGTATTCAGTATCCTGAATCCTGAAATAAACCATAATGGAAAAGAATATAAAAAGGAATGTGTGTGTGTGTGTGTGTGTGTGTGTGTGTGTGTGTGTAACACCAAATCAGTTTGCTATACAGCAGAAATTAACACAACATTGTAAATCAACTCATTTCAATAAAAATATTTAATTTTTTTAAAAAAGGAGGAGTGAGATTTAAACTCCTGAGCAGGTGTCAGGCCTGGCAGGGGTGAAGTAAGCAGGTGAGGAAACTGGCCAAGCGACTTTGGGGGCGGGGGGTGTTGGCTTTGAGGGGTGGACAGAAGGTGACATCCTGTGACAGGCTCCTCACCAAGGAGCTGCTTTACCCTCCTGGGTAGAGGTAGGTATTTCTCAACAAAATCCTCTCACTTTTTAAGGGCAACAAATCATAAATTCGTCAGTTTATAATCAACATATAAGCAAAACCGTGTGAAGCTTCCTGTCTCCAATTTGGCATTTCCCTTGACTATGTTTCATCATTTCTAAATGAGACCACAAGCCACGACTGAGGAAGGATCCACTGGCCTGTGTCTCTATATATAGTCCTTCATCCACCACAGTAGAAGGTGCTAAGAATCCAGTGATTGATGACGATATTGCTAAAATGGTTACATTTGGAGCTGGAAGAAGGAAGGTATTTTTTTCCATGAAAACGGGGGAGGAAGAAAGCCCCCTCATGGTTTCTAATATTGATCTGGCTCCACTGTAGTCCCGTGAAATAAACATCTATAAAGTCACCATGTCTCATTGGAAAAGACCTTAAGAGCCGTCTCCAGGAGCTTTCCCAGCAGTCATTAGGGGAGGTATCGTTGCTAATCCTCAACTCTCTGTGAGCTGGCTTAATTTCGAGAGACAAAATAAAAGTGCTGCCTTGTGACAAAAGCCCACTTCTTGGTGCCATTAAATCAAGCAAAGCTTCTGCACCAATATTAATTCAGTCATTGCTGGCCCCCCCCTCCCCATTGCTCCTCCTTTCAGGAAGCCCCTATGGAAGATGCCAAAGGAAGCCTCGACCTGCAAATATCGTTTAGCAAGTACAGATAAGCTGTAGCAAATCATGCTCAGAGCACTTTAAAAAAAAAGATTCAAATGTTAATACATTAGCGCCAGAACATGCTGTACAAGCGACAGGGAAACTGCAGTTGTCAACGTGTGAATTTAGTCTCGGGGTAGGTTCATGCCAGGAAGTAAAAAAAAAAATCTCAATTTAGACTTCGTCTCTACCCCTACCCCCAAGCCACGTGCTTCCCGGAGGATATGGGGGAGTACACGGTTACTCAGCAGATGTACTTCACACCAAGAAACGCTCGGGGTATATTCATCCCAGGAAAGGATGTGCGGTTCTCCCTTTGTCATTAAAGTTTTAGTCTGAGGCAGTCCTTCACGGGGCCAAGCCACACACCATGGGCAACATCCCCTGACTCCTGTGTGTGCGTGTATGCATGTGCATGAGTGTGTGTGTGTGTGTGTGTGTGTATATATATGCATTCTTATTCATGAGAAAGGTTTCTACAGGGAAATCACAGGGATTTTGCTGTTCTATGTTTCAGAAAGCCAGCCTGCCCATCACAGCAGATGAACACGAGGAGGCTGCAGCCACCTGGGTTGAGAGAACACTGTCAAGGGCGAAAGCCCACCCCAAGCCCACCCCAAAAGAGGCAAGGTGGGGGAGAAGCTCCGAGTCTCCCTGGGGGCTGGGGGCACATGGAGGGCGACAGAAGCCCAGGCCAGCTCTGCTGATCTGAAACCGAGCCGGATTCCAGTTCAAGTCTGACAGGCTGCTTTTTGCTGTTATCAAAGCAGCAGACTCAAACTTTCATTTCAGAAAGCATCTGGTCTCTCCGTCCGTCCCATCAGAAACAGCTATTTTCTTCAAATTGGAAATAAGGAGGTTTATTCTTCTCAAAACTGTGCTGTTGGCTCTTCTGCCTGACTTTTAACCTTCACTTCTTTTGCACAACAGCTAAGCTGTCTCATCCGAAAAAGGGGTGGGCTGGGGGGGCCCGCCCCTGGACATTACATGAGTGATAGATTTGCATCAATCTTTGTCTCCAAGGAGAGTCTATCAGAGATAAAGATGCAAAGTATTTACAGAAAACTTAATTAGAGGGAAAGAGGTACCAAACCACTCTTCCAGCCTTCTCAACCAAAACATCAATAACTTAAATCTCTTCAAGTGATAGAGCTACAAAATCTTTTATTAGGCATTTAAAGTTTTAATGATAAAGGGGCAACCTCTCTTATTCTTATCCCTCCCTATACACCTGAAGTCATTTTAAAATGATGAAATAACTATAATGTGTTTAAATGCATGTACCTGTTATACATATGTGCATATAATATAGACAGTCTATGTGAATGTACATCAGCCATATTTGGAGCTCCAGTATTTCCCACCCACTTGGTCAAAAGCTCATTAATTTATCTGCATTTATCTAAGCAAGAAATTCATTATCACTTCAAAAAGTATTTCCAAGTAGCAACAATCTGAATTAACAATAAATATGTACTATGTCCCTAATTAAATCAGAAGTCATATGGCTTAGGAAAGGTCTCTCTGTTCAGGGCAATCGTCTTTCCTGTGATGCTGTTAAGATTCTGAGATGGTTTATGGTATCAGAAAACATCCTCCTTGAAGTTACAACCTTTCACATTCATTTCCTAAGATGTATCATTCCCTCTTTATCAACGGTTCCTTCTCTATCAATTGGAAAAAAAAAAATCACATTTCATTTTTAATTGAAGGATGCTCTTTTCTGACCCTTCACAGATCCAAATGACACACACATTCTGACGTATTTAAAGGAAAGGGACACAAGACCACCTTTCTCAGGACCTACAGGAGAAAGGAGGCCGTGTGAAAGCTGAGTCTAGACACATGCTCAATAACTGTACGATAACATACCTTTCAACTATGAGTTTTGATAAAAATATGTAATTAAAACCGTAGACATCGACACCATGATTTTTCTATAGAACACCAATGTAGTTAACAAAGTGGTTATAAATGAGCCACTGGTAATTTACTCTTCTAAATGATTTAACCTTTCCAGTGATCATTTCATCTGTTTTCTATATTAAAAAAATATCAAAGAAATTCAAGATATGGAAAAGCCACGTTGGCTGAGGATCTGAAACTGATTTGGTAGCTTTTGAGTTGACATAATCTTGGCCCGAGTGCAGCTCATTTTGGAAAGCTGCCTCAAATTTCCCCTGGTTTTGAACTTTTTTTTTGTTTCCTTACCACTTTCATCTAGCAAGAAATCATCCTGGTAACGGAACTTCTCCGGTCCACATGCAATAAAAATGTCATCGTCACCAAAAAAGTCCTGAAGGCACATCACCTACAAGAGAAAAGCATGGCACTCAGCAAGGGGTCAGCAGAACAGCAATTACAGCAAAGCATCCCCGCCAGTGGACATCTGCATCCAGCCCCTTCCCACCTAATGGAATCAACAGGGCCGCTCCTCCCGAGGAATTTCAAAGGGAGGTTTCTCAGCATCTGTTACTAGTAAGAAACATGTTCCGTTTCAGTGGTGCAGGAAGGCGGGATAAGGTACATAGAACCGGTAACTGTCACATTTATGACTTGATATATCAATAGGCTAGGAGTTAAGAGCCCTTTATTTTCACAAGAGACTGGACACAGCAACTTGTAGAAAAGGAGTGCTCCTTCACTCCTCTGGTTGCAACCGTCCTAGAGAGCAGTAAAAGTCAGCACCTGATTTTAGCAACAAATGTGTTTTCTCGTAACTGATGCCAGTTACATGATGATGGTCACTGGGGCAACGACTAGAGAAAAATATTTGTACCCTAACAGGAATAGAACAATTTCCTTTAGACCCTGTCTGTGCTGTGCTAAGTCTTGCCCGACTCTGTGACCCCATGGACTGTAGCCCGCCAGGCTCCGTCCATGGGGTTCTCCAGGCAAGAATACTGGGCTGGATTGTCATTTCCTCCTCCAGGGGATCATTCTGACTCAGGGATCAAATCCGCGTCTTCTGCATTGGCAGGAGACTTCTTTTATCATTGAGCCACCTGGGAAGCCCAAAATCGCTTCTACCTCTATCTAAAACAAAAATGGTACCCTTCACAAAAGTAATAGAAAAAGTCAGTTATTTCGGAGATTTAGCTACAGAGACGAAGCAACTGTATCCCTCATCTCAAGCTAAGCTGAACTTTAACACTCGCATGATTCCCTAGCTTGTGGTCACACAAAGGGAAAGTTTTAAAACAACCTTTTGATATTTTATTCAACTTCTTCTCCAACATGAACTTTGAAAGCTAAATGCCGCTTTTCAAGTAAATGTAGTCCAGATGAATAATTCCGAGCTTACTGCTCTGTCTCTGAAGATGTGGATGTGCAGTATAATATTTTTGCTGTTGTTGTTCACAGTATGTATAACGCTAGTAGAAGGCACCGGAAACGATTCTGATTTCTATCTATTTTCAATTTTCTTTGACCACTTGGAGGAGATTGTAAAGCGGTCACGTGAAGGGACCATTCAGACCTGCGTGAAATAGACTTTCGTATTTATTTATTGCATTTTCCCTTGGATATTTGAGGATCAGAGACAAGCCTTCCTGTGTCTGATGTGTGAGATGTTTTTGGTCTGTGCTTCCTGTGAACCCCTCCCTTATGTACTGGTACTTCATCTGCAGGGTACTGCTGGGGTTCTGGGGTTCTGCTCCTTGTCAGTTCAACCTGTAACGTGACCCTGACAAGTCAAAGATGCTGGAGCACTTGCAGAAGTAAGGTGGGAAAGGATAGCATCATTGAGAGCCCCAGATGCAATGCTGTGGAGGCAACAGATAGTTTTTCTCCAATACTCCCTCATTCCCAAACAACTACTTGGACAGAGTGAAGTCAGAAAGAGAAAAACAAATGCCACATATTAACACATACACGTGGGGTCTAGAAAAATGGTGCAGACGAACCTATTTGCAAAGCAGAAACACAGATACAGATGTAAAGAACAAACACACGGATGCCAAGTGGGGAAGAGAGGTGGATTAGCAGATTGAGATGGACACATATACACCACTGTTACTACGTGTAAAACAGATAACTAATGTACAGCACAGGGCGCTCGACTTGGCGCTCTGCGACCCAAATGGAACGGGAGTCCGAAAAAGGGGGGAAACAGACACACAGACAGCTGATTCTGGAGAGGGAAATGGCAGCTCACTCCAGGATTCTGGCCTGGAAAGCTCCTTGGACAGAGGAGCCTGGAGGGCTACAGTCCATGGGGGTCGCAAAGAGACGCAACTGAGCGCACACACACACACACAGCTGACTCACTCTGCTGGAGAGCAGAAACTAACACACATGGTAAAGCAGCTGAACTCCTATAAACGTCAAAACCAACAACAAAATCCCCACAAATCACCACTTGGCTGAGGTCTTCAGAACGACACTTCTCTCACAGTTTGACAGTAAGCATTAAGTGTGAGCGAGGGACATTCGTGGTGGTCAGTGCTTATTCTGTCTCTAAAAGCTTGAAAACACAGGTGACTTAAGAGGGACCCTGAAATCATCCAGGAAGATGAACCGGAGGTCTTCAACACTCAGAAGCTTTGATCGTCTACTTGGGTTAATAACAGGCCTTTTGAATTGAGAACCCACTCTCTGTTTCAATCCTCTCTTTCTGTCAGATTCCAACCATGACTCTCTTCATTTGTATCTTCATGACACAGCACCCCAGCACTGTGACCCCAGCTTTCCTGATCATCGTAGGAGTCATCACAACCAACCCTGCCCAGGCCATCGTCATTTTAGTCACATGAGTCCATACTGTGCCGACTATCTGTCCATTAGCATATAGCACACAGGCATATAAAAGAGTAAAAATGGGAAACCATGTCTTATTCAGGCAAAAATGTGAACAATTAACCCTAAAAAGCAGTGTTTCCTAAAGTGAGAATGATTAATAGAATTTGTGCCCCAAAGGGTCCTATGGCCAAATGGATTGGGAAAATATTTCTTCAATATAAACAGATTTCTTTATTTCGTGCTGTGTCATTTCAGTCCTGTTTGACTCTTTGCGACTCTATGGACTGTAGCCTGCTAAGGTCCTCTGTCCATGGGATTCTCCAGGCAAGAACACTGGAGTGGGTTGCCATTCCCTTCTCCAGGGGGGTCTTCTCGACCCAAGGATCAAACCCATGTCCTGCACTGGCAGGTGAGTTACCACTAGTGCGACCTGGGTTTGTTTCTTTCTGATCTTCTCAAGACCCTTAATGTGCTAAGTACACTGCAACTCCAAAGAGGAGATGTAAAAATACAGTGTTTCCCAGACTTACTTGATTCTGGAACTCTCCTCACCAGCATGGTATGCTCTCTTATTGGATAGGTTCCCTTTGGTACTATGCTGACAGCTGTTAAGTGAAGAGAATTTTAAATTCATTCAAACATTTAAGCTGGACCTACTCTGTGCCAGGGTCTATGCCAAACATTATGATGACAAAGCTCTGTTGGATGAAAAATACTGTTTTCCAAAAGAAAAAAAATGCCCTTTCTTTCCACATATTCCCATCATTTGCATTTCAGAATGTCAGTTGGCCAAGCAGATCACCTCTATCTACCAGTGGCTACTTTATGCCACTGCTAAGGGAACAAATAACTATCAAAACTATAATGTGTTATGAGCAGGTTGCCAGCCAACTCCCATCCATCATATTCTGATGACCATCCTCCCAGCCTGAGACTCAGAGGATAGAGCAACAGTGATACAAACTGGATGGTTTAAGTAGAACTGTGTTCCAAGTGGGAAGTGAAACATGATGAACTTTTGATGCTGTTTCCAACTCCAGGACTCCAAGAACATAAAAGGAACACAGTGATGGCTTTGGAAAAGTAACTGTCATCACTCAGCACACACACAAAAAGAAGACAGGGAGAAGAAGTCCTTTTGATGCCAAGCAACATGTATCCATTTACCTCTCAATCTTCAGTGAGTGAAATCAAAGAATTTGTTCAACTGTCAGGAACTGTGATGTTTTCTATGCTCTCTGCTCTGGCATCATTTATCCATTTCCCTGCTTACAAAACTCCCACCCAGAGAAGGTGGGTAGGGTCAGTAGATCAAGTTCAAATTTAGAAAACTGCTCCCTGTTAGAAGCCTTGGTAAAAGAGTTGATAGCAAAGGAGGCTTAAACACAAGGTTACAATAAAGATGGATTTAGGATAATCTATGCACTTTGTCTGTGTTCTCACTCTCGATCATTGAGCTGGAGGCAGCTACAAACGTATTCTATCCCATCTAACAATAGAGCATAACAGAGGAAGATTTATAACCTTTTTCTCTAGGCCAATATACTTGGAGATTTTTCCTTTAGGCATTATAGTATTTTCTGACATCAAAGGATTAGAAAAGATAGAGAAATGTAAAACTAATATTGTGTGTAATGATCTGATACATCTATGTAATGCTGTTCCTTCTTAAGTCTGAGGTTCTCAAAAGTCAGTGTGGTAACCATTTTTGAGAAACAAGTTCCATTTATGGATTAAAACAACAACATTCCTTACTACAAAGAGATAGTAGCAGTTGACCTTCTCTTCTGTGAAATCTCTGGTCAACAGGTATCAGGTATTGGAAGCATCCATCAAGACTGGGTCCAAGAAAGATGCAAAGGCAGAGAGATGACGTTTGAGAAAAGAAAGTCCAGCCTGTCCCTGTTCACCATCACTCCTGCCTCCAGAAGAGGTGGTACAGTCAATGTCCATCTACCTCTGTGGTCTCCATGGCCACAGATGCTGCCCCAGCACCGTCTCCCAGACCCAGGCCTTCCCTGCCCCTCCTCAGCACCCCCATCACCACCTCAGTCCACAGCTTAGCCTCGTACCTGTGGACCACGGTTTTTCGCACTCCCACCTCCTTTCTCTCCCACTGATCCTACTTAATTCTCTTAATCTCCTTCTTCTTAGCAAACTTTTAATCTCTCTCTCCGTGGCTCACACAAACACCTATGACTTATCATCACATTGAAGTTCATCTTTGAGTGTGGCATTCCAGAACCCTCAAAATCTGCTCTGAACCTAGCTTTTCAAGTCCATGGTAACTTTAGCCATGAGATGCTGCCTGATACTCAATAAGCATTGATATAGATAGATGGATGGATGGATGGATGGATGGATGGATGGATGGATGGATAGATGAATGGTTGGATGGATAAATGGATGGATTAATTTAAGTACTATGCTCTAACAGGAAACATGTTACAATTTATCTGCTTTACTTAGTTTCCTTGGAAAGGACTTCTTTTATCTTATGTGTGTGTGGCTTTGGAACAAATTTTTTTCCCATTAGGTATCCCCTCCTACTAACTCTTTGACTACTCAAAT